TTATATTAATTTATGATTTCTGTAATCGGAGTACAAACATTAAATGTGTGCAATACTTTCCACTATTTAGTACAAAATAATGTTAATTAAACAATAGAAAACAATAGAATTAGCATAATTTAGCAGTATTTAGTGGTATTTATGTTGCACAGTTTTAGTGTTTGTACTCTATCTAAAGAAGTTTTATTTTGGTAAATAACCTAAATTATGTTTTTAGCATTATACATGGTGTACTCTTCATAAGAAATTGTGCACTATCTGAATGCACACAATACCACAAGAATTCAAAATAAGTGGTTTTCTTTACATATATTTATATGTATCACTGCTTTGCATCAACAAAGCTGAAGAGAAAATATCTAATAATTATTTAATGTAGTGTAATGGAATTTTTTTATTAGAAAAAATAAATTAGTCTTGACAAAACATGTACTAAAAATGTGGCCAATGTGTCTTGCATCCCATCTTTATCCAACATGCATATCTTTTGGGAGCTCCGCTATTAGGTTTTACCTAATTTTTATATTAACTAAATAACTGTAGAAGGGGGGTGGGGGTATAAATAAAAAAATGGATAAGTGAGAATAAAAACTAAATATGTAAATAACTAAATAAAAAAAATAGATAAATGGGTGTAAGGGAAAAGTGTGAGGAAACTGAAAGAAGAATGGGAGGTAAATGGCAAGGGAAATGATTGCTGACGACTGGATGTTGTAAGTGTGTGGGGGTGATAGTAAGAGGTGAGTGGAATAAATGAGTGGGAAAGAGATGGAGAACAATGAACATGTTGAGAGGGAAGGATATGAAATTGAAAGTGTGTATGGGAATGGACAGGCGGGGAGAAGAATAAAGAGACGAAACGATGGCAAAACGCGAGAAGAAGAAAATGAGTAAAATAGTTAGCATCGGTAATCAGCATAAAGGGATAAAAAATAGTAACATGAAAAAGTGAGTTTTATTGTGAGTTGTTTTTTGTGGAATTGGGAATTTAATTCTTCACTTAAAATTCGGCGTCTAAATCAAATGTCGTATTTAATCATTCAAGTCGACTAAAATAGGAGTTGTATTCGGCACATGTGAAGTTGGGCGTATAGCGCGGGCCTAACTTTTACATGATCTTGAACAAAATATGTTGACAATTTTTACGCGTGGACGACATTTCTCACACTATTACTTCGCAGATAAAACTTTATTTCTCCCCCCCCCTTCCTCCAATACAACATTGTGTGACTTTCCTTTCAAGTATTTATGTCCAAGATTGTAGGCTCAGTTTTCCTCCGTTGGTATTTCGTACACTAGCCCTAACCCGCGGACTGGACCAATCAGGGCCGGGATTCAAAATTGGGAAGGGGCCTATCATTAAAAAGTAAGAGTTCATTACCGAGAACAGAGACAATAAGCCAGCCGTAAGGGAGAGGATATCGCGGTTACGTACTAAATACCGAAGGCTGAAAACTGATGCTTGATCAGACTCAGTCAAAAAGCATTTTATCATATGACTGGGGTTTCATTGTTTCGCTACCGACTGTTAAGACATTGACCCACAAAGTGAACAACTTCTTGGTAAACGGACTTTCCATCGCCGTCAAGAGGACAAATTGTTGCCACAAGTCTCATATACTCTATTGGAGATAGAAGACAGTTGGTGATTGGAACTTGTACATAGGGTTGCTCATCCTGCACAATAGTATCAGGTGTGCTCCCGCTATGTGGATCATTTCGAGAGCGTGACTGATGCTGAGCTAGCAAGTGTTGGTTGCTATGAAACAGCTGCAAAGGAGATTGACTGTGCTCTGTGGAAATGTTGTGATGATTATGCGCCTCTCTGANATTTTATCATATGACTGGGGTTTCATTGTTTCGCTACCGACTGTTAAGACATTGACCCACAAAGTGAACAACTTCTTGGTAAACGGACTTTCCATCGCCGTCAAGAGGACAAATTGTTGCCACAAGTCTCATATACTCTATTGGAGATAGARGACAGTTGGTGATTGGAACTTGTACATAGGGTTGCTCATCCTGCASAATAGTATCAGGTGTGCTCCCGCTATGTGGATCATTTCGAGAGCGTGACTGATGCTGAGCTAGCAAGTGTTGGTTGCTATGAAACAGCTGCAAAGGAGATTGACTGTGCTCTGTGGAAATGTTGTGATGATTATGCGCCTCTCTGAWTTCTGAAAGTGTTCTGTTTATTCTCGGCAGAAAAACATAGTGCAAACAAAAAATGTCARTGCTATTATCAGGATCAAGAAGGCTATTGTGCTCGAGTTCGTAAAATAATGGTTTGTATTGTCTTTCGCAGTTGTTGTTTATATCTCGATTAAATCTTTCGATACGTTCGTTGTGGACAGAGCTTCCAACAATAACAGGTCGTTTTTCGACGCCCCTGCGCTCGTACATTCGTTTCCAAACCAACACATTTTCTCCACCGTGATCAGTCCTGACACGAASAGGTAAACCGTAGGAACTTGAGGCAGCGTCAAACTGCTCGACCACAGTAGAAGATCTGTTATTATCGGATGCCTTAAGAAATGTCACAAGTCTGCTGAAGCCATCAATGGCTCCATGCACGACAATTCGCCATCTAATCAACTTGTGGTTGCCGTCGATGTGCCACAAATAGTTTGGGCACGGCACGGAATACACCCTATGTTGGATGCAAGGTCGGCTACGTAATTCAGGACCCTTTGGATCAATGCGATGTATGCTTTCACGGAGATGTTGTCGACGAACGTGGATCCCTCTTGCCCGCAAATGCCCTTGCAATATGACTTCACCTACATCTTGACAGAAAAGGTACAATTTTTAGACTCAAAAACACGTACTTAGGTTTCGATTACTCGCTGCGCCCGGTTATGACTTCAATTCTTTATTTGTATTAGTTAAACTCTTCGAGCCTCAATCGAACCTACTTCATTATTGGTGTATTCGTAATTCGATTGGATTATTGGCTAAAACCCGATATTTAAAAAGCAAATACTGTTTTGCTCTCCTGCGCGCGAAAGAAAGAGTTTGTTTTACATTGTGAACACTTATAATACATAAATTCTGTTAGCATTCTATGTTTCWAATATCAASAACATCCGTTCACTGARAACCGAATCGTTSGTATTAAGCGTAGCACGATCTCTCACGGGTTTTCGTATTGTTWGAAACATAGAACGAGTATCCATCTGCCCGCGCGCACCCCTCAAATCGTCTATTCACACTGATATATATTTGTCAGCATAAATGAACTTACTAGGATGAGAGCTTTTCACATTCCTCACAAAGACATCCAGCTCTTCAACACTAATATCTGAATACTTCGGAGGAATTTCATCTAGCTGTCTCTCCTTTAATTTATTATAGAMTGTGCGGCGTGATATATTTAATCCYCGGGCGATCGCCGACTTTGTGTACCCCAATTTTTTCAGCCTTATTATTTCCTCTGTTACGTTCTTTGGACGACCTGCACACTCCTAAAATAAATATTGGCAGCTAAGAGAAACKTGCGCAGAAAAATCAAATCTAACTATTTCATTTCAAGTAGTAGCGCTTATATTGTAAATTCTCTCACACTCCGTGTGCACCCAGTTTTTTCGCCGTTTTTTTTTTTTCGCCGTTAGATTTTAACTAATTTCATTCAGTACAATGATCGGATCTAAGACATATAGCGTGATAAGTGTCAGCCAAATAAAAAACCATAAAAACTAACTAGATTGGAGATTTAGGACAGAGTGGAATCAGAGCACTATTCTCCGTTTTCGCTCTCGACAGGGGATTGTAGGTCGATATCGCAATATCTGGATGTGCCAACATTTTTTTAATCAGTTTAAGAGATATCTTTACGACAAAGATTGCTGCAATTGTCCTTTAAAAGCTTTTGTCGACAATCGAGCTGTTTTAAAAATTAACAGATGCTTCGAATCGTGTGCAGCAAGCGTGGTGACACCACTGACCTTTTGGCTTTTTAATTATTTACTGCTATATTCCGTCGATACTACTAGAATTGTATGCGGCAAGAAAACCAGTCAAGAAACTATTTTTACTCTGAATCACGAACTATGTAAATTGAAGTAAAGTATTATGTGAATTAGGACTTGATATTGATTCATTCTGGGTCCAGTTCTTCGTTTTAAAAGAAAGCGCGCGAATTGACGGTCATGTGACCAGATTCCTTCTATCGAGAAGATCTACGCAAATACTAAAATTACAGCCCTTCTGAACAGTAAAATATGCCGCTTAAAAARAAAGGAAGATCAATTACAGTAAGGATCGATATTGTGTTTCTCTTACCTGGTGCTTTGCAGTGTCCTCATTGACTCCAGAAGGACCAGCAGCCGCAGGCTCTTGCCTCTGGACATCGCTATGAGCTCCTGCTCCTTGGCTCGACAAGCAGTCCATTATAGATTTGCTAATGGCCGAAGCCAGATTTTGGGCTAAATTTTCAGTCATTGTATTTCAGTAGTACGAAATAATAAAGAGAACAGCGACGATCACTAGCGAAGAAAGGGAGAAATACGAACTTCTCGCTGGTTTATATACATTTTATGACGTCATGACAGCCGGAAGTGTTTATCTTTTATTGCGCATACAATATATAAACCATGCGCATACAATGATAGATCAATCAATTGTTTGATATAATGAATCCATAAGTTTATGGTTTCATATAATTTATCGACAAATCNATGATCGGATCTAAGACATATAGCGTGATAAGGCTCAGCCAAATAAAAAAACATAAAAACTAACTAGATTGGAGATTTAGAGCATTTTTGTAATCAGCTTAAGAGATAACTTTATGAAAAAGATTGCTGCAATTGTCCTTTAAAAGCTTTTGTCGACAATCGAGCTGTTTTAAAAATTAAAAGATGCTTCGAATCGTGTGCAACAAGCGTGGTGACACCACTGACCTTTTGGCTTTTTAATTATTTACTGTTATATTCCGTCGATACTACTAGAATTGTACGTGGCAAGAAAACCAGTCAAGAAACTATTTTTACTGTGAATCACGAACTATGTAAATTTAAGTAAAGTATTATGTGAATTAGGACTTGATATTGATTCATTCTGGGTCCAGTTCATCGTTTTAAAAGAAAGCGCGCGAATTGACGGTCATGTGACCAGATTCCTTCTATCGAGAAGATCTACGCAAATACTAAAATTACAGCCCTTCTGAACAGTAAAATATGCCACTTAAAAAAAGGAAGATCAATTACAGTAAGAATATTGTGTTCCTCTTACCTAGTGCTTTGCAGTGTCCTCATTGACTCCAGAAGGACCAGCAGCCGCAGGCTCTTGCCTCTGGACATCCCTATGAGCTCCTGCTCCTTGGCTCGACAAGCAGTCCATTATGGATTTGCTAATGGCCGAAGCCCGATTTTGGGCTAAATTTTCAGTCATTGTATTTCAGTAGTACGAAATAATAAAGAGAACAGCGACGATCACTAGCGAAGAAAGAGAGAAATACGAACTGCTCGCTGGTTTATATACATTTTATGACGTCATGGCAGCCACAAACTCCATCGCAGAACTGATTCCTGCATCATTGGCCTATAGAAGAAAAAAATCAATGCTTTTAAAGTTGTTCTACTTGTTTTCACTTCTTGGTCATATATTATGCAATTATACAGCTGCAGTTTCATTACCTGTACTAAAACAAGATGGATGATAAGCCCCACAGTACAACAGTAGATGCTGTAGGTCCCGGACTTAGCTGAATGCCCCATGCTGTCATGGCGACCATCTCCTGCTAATACAACTTCTTTGTTTTGTAGTGAATCCAGTATTTTCTTTTGCCATTCTCTCCAATACTTAACTATCGATGGAATTAACATGTTTCTTTGATGGTAATAGTAAGTTGTTTCATGGTAAACAAGGATGTTCATGTGTTGGAATACCAATGAAGCTGGACAAAGTTTTTCCACTTCGCGCGAAGGTTTCTGTTGTCTGCGGGCGAGTTATACAGTGAAATACCGTCATTGGACAAGATTTGTTGTTACAATCTTGCACTACACATCGGCTTGAGGGCATTTTAGAATGACCGATACATTGCTGACACTTATTTTGGATAAAACCTTGCTTTTTGTCTCGAGAACATCAACAATTCTCCACGGGCACAGCAAATCTCCCGCGTTTGACAAGTTGAAGTTGCTTGGATGACGTCACTACCCCTCTACCCACTCCCTCACGGACAAACTCGTACATTCTTCGTTAATTCAGAGTACCCGAAAAAGATTGACCAAAAATGATACTTATCGTAGGAATTTTGAAAAATCGTTTGGCACAGTTGTTATTGGAAGTGTAAAGATTAAATTCAGAAAGTTTCAGCATGAACCAGAAATGTTCAATTTTTCGGCATAGTCCCGCTATAAACTTTATAAGTCTTTCAGATTACATTATTTTCGAGAGATATCTGGGGAACTTATAGACTAAAACCCTTTAAAAAGATCTATGGTAGGATACCTCGAGATTTTTCTTTGTTGGCCATACCGATGCTGCTACGCAAAAGTTTCCATAAAATTATCATTTTTTATATATTTCCAGGTATCCTACCATAAAAAGTTGCATTTTTATATTATCTTTATGATTCTTGAAGAAATTATTTGAAAATGTGTTATCGAGCCGCGAACAGGCGACATGTTTCCCTTAATCGCGGCGTTTTGCCAAATCAACGGAAACATCTCGTCTGAATAGAAGACAAGCCTCAGTAAATTAACAGGGTAATACGGTAAGCTTAATAATTCGTTAATGAAAATTTTGGTTTTGTTTACACAGCTTTCTAAGTTTGAAAGTCTACTTCCCGAAGAAGAACAGTCTGTGGTGTGGATGATTCCATATCTCATTATTAGTGGGTCAAAATTTACTTCAGCAAGTATTCATATTACTAGAATTTGAAATCCCAACTCCATTGGTAGAATTCGACTGGTGCTTCTTTATTGAAGAAGCAAAGGCTTTCATGGCCAATAACTTCTTTCCATTTTTAATGCTGCTGTCAGGGGGACTTGCAGCATTTCACTATCAGCAACTACTTACCGTACGACTCTGTTATTTCTGAGTTGACCAAAAGCAGTTTGCCAGTTTACTGGGATGATCCCGCTCTCCCCACTGATGTAAAGAAGGCACTTGTTTTCACCTTTCAAGGAGCGGGCAAGCAAACCAAAGGTGGTGGCAGCGAAATTCCACTGACCACTTTTTTAACAACTGTAAATTTTTCGATAACTGAAGATTTAAGGTAATATGCATATTTCATAGTACTCAAAATGCTTTAATTTGTTTCCGGAAAGAAAAAAATGAATTGGACTTCTTAATTACCCCCCTACTCTCAGTATATTCTCCTTTCGCAGCCATTATGAACCTCATAACCGCTGCGATAGGACAATTACCAACATTGAAGTCACTATTATCATTTGTGGTCTATCTTATGAAAATATACATAGATAGACCGATATAACATATAGCCAAAAGCTGGGCCTATCTTCTATAAATTTTCATTCTTTTTTGCAGAAGTTTTGAAAAAAACACCCCAATAGTTTTCGCAAAAATTGTTGGGAATATACACGACACAGAGAGCTCAGATTCCTTCCTAGAGAGAAAAAAACGCCTGAGTGGTATGGCAAGCAAAAATGGGGATTGGTTTGGACGAATCGATCATCCAACCACATATTGATTTCTTTCAGAAACATCTGAAAGCTCCAATACCAGATAGGCTGGCCAACATTTATAGCTGCTTCAGATACTTTGCTAATGAGGTAAGTTAGGCACTTAATTAAGTTATACTGGTGGAAAGAATGACTTCGGGCTTTAGGATTCATCCTTTTACTTATGGTCTACTTCAACATACATGTCGAGTAAGCATGCAATAGCGTCGTGAATCTTGAGAACATAGTTATCTGCCTTGTTTTTTTCTTTTTTTTTATGACAAACAAAAAATATAACCATTTTTTTGTACATAAAATTTAAGACTTGAGAAAATTGTTGGAGAGTTTTTTTTTAGAAAACAATGATTAAAAAATATCTTTGAAAGACAAAGAGATGCGTTGTTTTCACTTGGGGAATTTACTTTATTGAGCAATTACAATAATGAAACTGTAATCATGATTTCTGATTCCGTACTTCAGTCTGCAATCAGTTGCCGCACAGAAAGCAATTCACTACTCGACAAACATGTCACGAAAGCGGAAATTTCGACGACCAAAAACATCCATCAAAGAAAAAAAGGTACTTGATGATTGTGTTCTAAAGTCTACACAGTATACTACCAAGTGGGCTTTTAAAATTTTTTGCCGCGTGGCAAACAGCTCGTTCAAACAAAGATCCAGCAAATGAAAATTGTTGCTTTCCTGTCGATGTGAACAAAATCCAGTCTTTAGATACCAATATATGTAATATGACGATAGAAACGCTTAATCTTTGGCTAACAAAATTTGTTCAAGAAGTATGCAAAGCTGATGGCAAACGATATCCATCACGATCGTTGTATCTGATAATAACTGGGCKTCAGAGGCATTTGAAAGAGAGTGGAAGTGAAATTTCTCTTCTTGGTTCGAACGAAGGAAGGYGTGTATATTATTTTCAATATTAGAACTTATTTTGTACTGAATTAATCCTAAAATTCGTTTTCTTTTAGATTTAAAAGGCTTAATGTCTTCAGGAGAGCGTTGGACGCTCAAATGAGAGAGGCTGCTCAAGATGATTATTTCTATTATCCTTGCAGTATTGGCATCTTGCTTGATATTCAAGTGTTGGTATCTTGGTTGTCATTCTTAGTAATCAGTTTCTTGTTTTTCATTCTAGTATTGCTGTCTTGCTTGTCATTCAGTATTAGTGTAAGCGATGTAAGGGAAGGGAGTAAGTCTTTTTAGTGTTAACCTTAGTCAATTTATATCTTATATAATCTTAATAAGTTGAAGTTCGAATTTTCTTTCTGATGTTCGATAATATTTCACAGCTGATAAACCCTTAAAATATAACTCAAGTTATGTCTGTTTTCAGGAGGGGCATACTGACGACATGGACATTTCTGGGGATTGTAAGTACAATTCAGGAAATATTTAAGCTTAAGCTTATTTACTTACATGTAGTGTAAGTTGGGAACACGCTTCTTACGTTTTGTTTTCTCTCGTTTCTGCTGTTTGTTTCTATGAAACAGCAAAAGATAAAGACGACAAGGAAGAGTCAAACTGTAAGTATAAAAATATCAACATGATATGCAATTGGTCGACTAGTATTTCAGCTAAACCAATCTCTTTTTGCCAGATTCAAGCCGAAGATCAAAGAATGTAAGTATGAAATGGTCTGCATTTAATTGAATTTAAGTTTGCCATGTTCCTGTTTTTTTTTTCGCTCCCTCAATTAAGCTTACGCCTTCTTTTTTCCTCTGTTGAATCAGCGAGTCGTGG